ACAGCCATGCAATGTCCCTGTGGCTGTTGCAGGGAGAGGCAAGGGCAAGGCTGGGCTTCTCACCGATGAACCTGTCTGCTCCCCCAGGTTACCTCACATGACTGCATTCTTTCTCCCTCACCTCTCTCCCACCCCCGCTCTTGGCAGCAGTGTACAGAAGCTGGTACCACACAGATTCGCTGCATGATATTTGCTTTATAAACACTCTACCAACAATAGATCGCTGCAACCAACACAAAGAGCACTTTTGCCTTTTTACCTCTCTCCTCTTGGGGCAAGAACAGTTGGGACAGGTATAAATTTAGTTATGATCCTGTCTAGAATAGAGGGGAAGTAGGGTGGTGCATTTGCAAAGCAACCAAAGCTATTGGTACTGTTAACTGTGAAGATCTTTCTTTTATACCAAGCTCGAAGCTCTGCTCTATACCTAGAATGAAAAGGTCCTGGCCCTGAACTATTTCAGCGAAAAGCTGACAAGATAAAATTTCCAGTCCAAGCAAAGCTCAGGCTACTTTCTGTGGTTGAAGAGAAGGGAGAATACCCATAGGACTCAAACAAGTGACAGATTCGGAGCAAGAGAGTGACAGAGGTACAAGCACCCCTGAACAGATGGCAGCAACTTAAACCTAGGGAGGCAGAGGGGAAGCTGAGGTCAGCAAGTTAAGAGAATTTAGGTAACAGAAATCAGTCAGGGCAGAAGCCTTGACCTTCACCTTCCGTTAAGGAGAAAGCAATGGGCCGGGTCTGATGGGGGAATGGGCGCGGCTGCACACACTTTGGAGAGAGTGATTCAGAGCCACAGGAGGACTGAAAGGAAAAGTTAACCCCAAGGATGGCTGTGCTGGTAGACTGTCTGAAGATGACAGGGTGGCTTATGCTTCTGGGGCTTTGAGTCCCAGAATTCTACGTGTGTAACACACGTGCATTGTTCTGAAGAGAGGATGCTAAGTTCCTGGATTCCTCTAGGACACAGGTGGTAAACACAAGGCCTGTGGCCGAATCCGGACCTCCACCTTGTTTTATTCGGCCCAGCACCTTGTTTCTACCTGGTGGCAGCACCGAGCTCCTTGCCCCTAGTTAAGGAGTAGTTACATTCATACAGCCCTAAAATAACATTTGGCCCTTTGAAGGCAGCCTTGAGGTCGATGTGGCCCCGGTGAAAATGAGTTTGACATCCCTGCTCTGTGAGGTCCGAGACATGAAATACTTTGTTCTGCCCCTGCTCACTTTTCTCTAAAGCTCTTTCCTTTTTGGTGTGTGGGTGTGTTTCATAGTTTTAATCAATTAGGATAAAAGCTTCCATTGATTGTAAATCTGCCATTAACCTCTCCAGTTTACCACCAGCTCATGTGTCTACAAGGAGAGTGACTGAAACCTGTGGCATCACCAGACCTTCAGGCCATAGCTGTGATAGCCGTCATGAACAAGACTATGTTAAAGGGGCGAGTGTCTGAGGATCTGCAGGGCTGCCGGCCCGCTGTTGAGTGGTGTTTCTGTGTCGCCCTGCCCAGGGGCTGCCACCTGGCCCCTCCAAACTTCACCAACATTAACAGTGCTGAGGCGCCCCTACTATACCGTGCTGTCAGCTCAGGCATGCTTGGCCGCAAACCCAGCCCTTCTCCTCTGAGCCCTGTGAGCATCCTTTGCCACAGTGTCACTTTAGTAGTCCTTTTGTCTCAGTCTTTAGAGAGCACATGAAACCTGTCTAATCATGTGCACACGAGGGACAGGCAGCCTTCTGTTCAACAAGCTGAGTACTCTTATGATGCCAGGCCCCTGGCACCAACTCTGCTCTTTTAGTCCTGCTCAACAGAACCGAAGTACAGGTGCAGACCAGCCCTGGGCGGATGCCCACCCCACCCCTGTTGAATAGGAAGCAACAGGGATTTGAAAGCAAACAGCGTAAACAACCATGATCTCCATTTGTCTTAACCGCATCTCACCTGCATGACTGGTTCAACTTGCAGCATCTGTTCAGCCAGGTGTTTTTCATGAGCAGGGTTCTTTTCCTGAGTCAGTGAACCTGGCAGCAGTTCCTCTTCAACAAAGGTGGCCTCGTGCCTGAAGCCTTCAGCCTTAGTTTTGGATAGGAATTCTTCCCAAAGGGAGACGCATGCTTGTTCACAGTGCTCTTCTGGAATCCCAAAGGGTCTCAAAGGCATAGCAACCCTATTTTCTGTAGGGCAAATTAATACATAATAGTTTTTTCTTTCTGTTTTTTTTTAATTGAGTTATAATGGCCATATGATATTATATTAGTTTTAGGAGTACACAGAATGATTTGACATCTGTGTATGCAGTAGTCCCTCTTTTATCCATGGTTTCTTTGTTTCAATGGCCTGAGGTCAACCACGGTCTGAAAATATTAAGTGGAAAATTCCAGAAATAAACAATTCATAAGTTTTGAATTGCACACTTCTGAGGAGACTGATGAAATCTCATGCAGTCCCGTTCTGTATTGCCCATGACGTGAAGCATCCCTTAGCCCAGCACCTGTCAGTCACTAAGTACCTGTCTCATTGTCAGATCTACTGTCATGCTATCACAGTGTTGTGTTCAAGTCACCCCAATTTTACTTAATGACGTCCCCAAAGTGCAAGAGTAGTGATGCTGGCAATTCAGATATGCCAAAGAGAAGCCACAAAGTCTGCTTATGTGTAGGAAAAAAACAGAGCATATACAGGGTTCAGTTCTGTCTGTGGTTTCAGGCATCCACGAGGGGTCTTGGACTGTGCCCCCCACAGATATGGGGGGACTACTGTATTGTGAAATGATCACTGCAGTAAGTCTAGTTACACCTGTCACCACATAGTTACAACATTTTTTTTGTGATGAGAGGCTTTCTAAGACTTACCTCTCTTAGCAACTTCCAAAAATGCACTACAGTGCTATTAACTGTTGTCACCATGCTATAGATTGCATATCCATGACTAATTTATTTTTTAACTGGAAATCTGTACTTTTTGACCCCTTTCACCCATTCTGCCCACCCAGCACCACCCCCTGGCAACCAGCAGTCTCTTCTCTTGCTGCATAATAGTTTGACATGTGATCTGGCGATGGAACAGCCCGGAATCTCAGAAACTCTACCTATGAGTTTAAGGGAGCTATAGGAAAAGAAATGACATGGAGGAGGTTCAAATGGCCACTCCTCACTGTTAGACAAAGTATGTGCGTGTGAGGGGTCCTGCTGCCACCCCACCCTGTTCCCACCCACACTGCATGTTCACTTGCCCATCCCACCTTGATCTCCCATGTCAGAACACTCCCTTCTGATACAGCTGGAAATCCTCATCACCAATATGCTCTGAAGTAACAGGTTTCTAACACCAGGTGACTGATGAGTGTGGGAGTGTTTGCATGAGAATCACTTGAGGCCCAGCAGCAGAGATTAGGATTTCATGATTCCAGGGGGCCTGGGAATCAGTATTTAGGAAAATCCGATCACTGTTTTGAACAGCTTCCTCTCCAGCACATTTGGGAACACTGCTTTAGCTGTAAGCAGGAAGGGTGCTCTAGCCGATGGGGGCTCCAGGCAGTCTCATTTCGGGACAGGGACGGGGAGAATAGAAGGAAAACCCTCTGGTCTCTGCCCTCAAGGAGTCAGAGCCAATTTGGTGAGACAAGACTGTCACACATGGAAATCACTCAAGAGCACTTGCAGAAGAGCTACAACTGAGAGTAGATGAATATTCTGCAAACAGAGAGAGGATGACTGGCTCAGCTTGGAAGGGGGAAAGCATGAAGTGCTCCTGGCCAGGAAGGAGTTTATGCTTACATCCAAACTGTTGGCCATGTGTTTCTGTCACTTACTATAGAATGGTGTCTGGAGAGAATTGGGGATTGGGGGCAGCTATGAGACTACTGGAGTGGTTTGTGTGTCACTCTTTTAAGTAGCAAAAGAACTTCACTGTGCATGTGGAAGTGAGCTGGGAGCATCTTAAGTGGAAGAAGTCCAGACCATGACCTGGAAGGCAGAAAGTGGCACAGAGCTGTGGGGACGTGAGGTTTCCCTGTCCTTACGCTGCAGCAGTCCAAGGCTGCATCCCTTTTGCTGCAGGTCATTTCCTTCACCAGGATCCTTGGGACCCTTTCACAGGAACCCAAGCTTCACCCAGCAGCCATGAGTAGACCCCCATCACTTTCCAAAAGAAAGGGACGCTCCCCACGCTGTAATGAAGGATCTCAATGTTTATTTACAGTGGAGAGAAGGTTGGTGACTCTAAGGAGCCCCACCAACAGCCCATCTACCCAGTCTGTCCCTGTGGGTGATAGAGGTTTTCCCAAAATTGCCTGCTTATCAGAATCCTCTGCGATGCTTGTTCAAAATACAGGTGTCTGGGACTCAAATTACAGCTATTGAATCAGGGGCTTCAGAAGAGTCTTTTTAAAAAACAATTCTTAAGACAGGGTAAATCTGGGAAACTTTGCTTAGCAACACACCCTCTCTTACCATGGATGACCCAACTCCTGCCTCTGCTAGATAGCAGCTGCCTGGCTCTGCAGAGGACAGCCTTCCTGGGAGAACAAAAAGCAGCGTGTCTTCTGTCTAAGACCCAATTGTGGTAATAATACTCACCAACTTTTATCAACTGTGTCTCCCAGGGGCTTTTTATTTTTAATAATCTCATGTAACCCTCCCATTAACTTAATGAAGTCTGTTTTTTCAGATGGGGAAACAGAAAGAAGGGAAGTTAACTGACTTGTTCAAAGGCACACACAGCTAGCACCCGGCAGAGCTAGGTCAGAACCCAGCCTTTTGGCTGCTAAGCTCCATCTCCTCTCCGTTACACATTATTGATCCTAGAACCTTGAATCAACTGGCTGCATGTTCCAGTTGACAGCTAACCAGCCCAATTCAAACCACCACCACTACCCCAAGAAACGGGAAACAGAAGAGGGGGCTGAAATTTATCTTAAACTCTCTAGTGGGTACATGAATGAGGAATGAAGTTAAAGAAGGCACAGGAGAAGATGATGATCCCTCATTTGATCCTCAGGTACTGGAACTCCTTAAGCAACCTGGTGGCATCCTTGCTGAATTCTGTGCGCTCCATCGCCTCCCTCCTGCTCCTCCTCTTCCTCTTCATCATCATCTTCTCCCTGCTGGGGATGCAGCTCTTTGGAGGAAAGTTCAACTTTGATGAGATGCAGACCCGAAGGAGCACCTTTGATAACTTTCCCCAGTCCCTCCTCACTGTGTTTCAGGTATGGACTTTCCTCTGCTGGGGTTACACAGTTGGGAGGGTGGTTGAGTGGGGGGAGGGGAAGCAGGAGGGAGGAGGCTTGACAATGAGGGGAGGTTTCACCCTTGTACTGGGCAGCCAAAGCCAGCTAGGTCAGCTATGGAGGGCCCACTCTCAGGAGAACCTGGAGTTCATTCTGTAGTTTCCCCTACCCACAGTCTCCCATGGAATTTCACTGTTGGGTGGACCATTGAGAGGTTTAAAAACTCTTTCTTGGCCATGGGGCCCTTTATTCAGATAAATTCTACATGGAAGCCCAAAATACAAACAAATAATAAGCAGACTGCTCTGTCGTGGGAGGGGAAGATGGAGCTCTGTCTCACCTACCCACCACACTTCTCCCCAGAAAAACTATAACAAGCCCATCAGATTTGTGATTTCATAGATATTTTGGCTTAGAGCCAAGCTAGAGTAGCACTTATTTAAGTTTAAAAGTAGATCAACTTACAGATAAAAATGAATAATAATGTGGATGTTGCCAAAATCTTAAAAATGAGATCCAGATGACTAATGTTTAGAACTGGGTAGCGTATTATTCCCTCAATGAACACACTTGTTCACATTTGTAAAGTGGACCTTGATCTTGAGCCCAGGGAGTCGGCTAGTGGTGGCCATCTTGTGCATCACGTGTTGGGGGGAGGAGGGGATATTTTCGCCTGGAAGCCCTTTCCCTCACTCCTCACATGATAGTGTGCCAGTGGCCATGCACCGTGTTTAAGGACAGGGTCAGCTTGCCAGGGTACTAGCTCAGAGTCCCAGGGAGGACAGCTGTGGGCAGGAGGAGGGCGAGAGGTGGAAGGAGATTTCAGGCGTTCTGGTCAGCAGAGTGGGGCAGGGCAGGGGAGTTTTGGGGTTTGCTGTTGGTCTAACGCTGTGTCCCTTATTGGTGGGAATGTGTCATTCAGATCCTGACCGGGGAGGACTGGAATTCGGTGATGTATGATGGGATCATGGCTTATGGCGGCCCCTCTTTTCCAGGGATGTTAGTCTGTATTTACTTCATCATCCTCTTCATCTGTGGAAACTGTATCCTTTGCTCCTGCCTCCCCACCCCTGCCACCCACCCTCCCTCAGCTTACAGCATGATGCCAAATAGGTGTGCCCAAGAGCCCTGACTTGGGGCTGAAAACTGTGGTGGTCTGTCCACAGGGCCCCCAGGCAAGTGGGAAGAGGTGTATTCTGGGGGAGAAAACATTTCCCAGCCCAGAAGCACCTTACTTGGAGGAGGGTCTTGGTGGAAGGAAATCTGGAGCTTTGGCACAGGTGGGTTCATCCTCCTGTTCTGCTCCGGCTGGGGGAGGGGTGTTCTTGGCGTACTCTAGGTGAACACCCCCGGCTGTATCTCGGTCAGCCACCCACACAGACTCCGATGTGAGCCCACCTAGGTTTGGGAGCTCTGGCCGCCCTGGCTAACCTCATCCTTAAAAGGATCATTCGTCTCTCCTCTCTGCTTTCTGATCAATGTCCCTCCCTCTGAAATCACTCTCCGGGACGTTAGTCCCAGGCAGAGGAAGACAGGGCTCACCAGGCAGACCTGACAGAGCCACTGGCAGTGTTTTAAGGTCTCAAACGTAGGCCCTCTTCTCTCTCCTGGTCATAAATGTGTGAGAGTTGTGTGCAGAGGTGGGTGGTGTAGTAGAGGCAGCTCTGGCCCAAGACTCGGGTTTAAATCACAGCTTAAGGCAGTGCAGAAACCACTGGTGACCTTTGCCAACAATAAACTGGGTGATTGTGATAGTATCTGCTACTCAGTAGGTCATTGTGAGGTTCAGTGGGGTAAGGCCCAAGGGTAGGTATCCAGCAGCATCTTGGACAAGCCCCTATGCCCCTGGGTGTGGTTTCCCTGTGTGTGGAATGGTGTGCCTGGGGTGCCTGGGGATGAAGGTCAGACTTAACAGACATTAGGATCCTTTTCAGCTCTCCTTCCTTTGATTCTGCAGTTCTTTGACCCACAGTGTTCCATTCAAGGCTGGGGTGGAGGGAGAAGTGAAGGGCAAATGGCTGCATCAATGAGGAGTTCCCAAGCTTCAGCCAGCCCCACTGGGCCCTCCAAGGGTCTCCATAGGGGTGGGCTTAACATGAAGAGTTGGCAGAGATATCAGGCTGCCTCCTCAATTCCCAGTTATAATGAACAGCTCTTAAGAGCATTCTGCATTCTGCTAGAGACAATGCCGTTTATAATGTCAATTACAGCCAGTCATCTCTGCAGGGAAACCAGTAATGAAACCCAGCAATTAAAGAGCGAGGCAGGCCTCACTGCCTCAATCCCTCCCTGCTCTAGCCTGAAAGCTAGCCTGCTCTCAACCTCTTAGAAAACTCCAGGTGGCTAATAGGGTGATGGGGAGGGAAAGGGACAGGGGAGGGACACCACTGAGCTCAGCACTCCTTGAAGTGAGTCACTGTTGAGCTGGCTCTGTGGGGAACTCTACCCCTGCATGCCCTGCCCCCTATTGCCACCAAAAAACCCCAAGGCCAAGGGTCATTTTCTTTAAGAATGGACGCAAACAGATATCCTACTGAATGTGTTCTTGGCCATTGCTGTGGACAACCTGGCTGATGCTGAGAGCCTCACATCTGCCCAAAAAGAGGAAGAAGAAGAGAAGGAAAGAAAGAAGCTGGCCAGGTAACCTTCTGAGCTGACCTAGGCCCAGGGCCCAGATTTGGAATGCTGCTGCCCCTGGTGGTAAAGAGAGATGTGGGCACGGCCCCTGTTGGCTGGTGACCTCCCAGGAGGGCACTTGGTTTGGCACTTCCTAGAGTAAGTTAGACCTCTCCCCTAACTCCTAGGCACTGCTCTAAAGCAGGGACCATCGTGAATTACAGTCTCTGTGAAGGTGTTGCAGTTCCCCTCCTGTCTAGGAAGTTGGAGGATTCCCCTTTGACAAAAAAGGTCACCATAGGTGAGGGGAGCAAAGGATGGGAAAGGGGGAGGCAGTCGCTCAGAGGAGAAATGCAACTCCAGGTGACAGAGAGATTCCACCTCACTGTTTTGAAAGCAAAACAGGGCCCCACATTATCTCTGTCACTGTCAAGGTAGTACTGTCATAGGCCACATGCCTTTCTCTGGTTTAGACAGGGGCTGTAGACAGCCACCACAGTACCAGACAGAGCAAGGTGTGGCCCGGTGCCTGGATCCTAGGCCCAGCTCAGTAGCATTTGTGATCAGGCTACACGAGGCACAGGTCCTGGGTAGAGGAAGGCGGACACAGGCACAGAGACTCCGCTCCCCCTGGCTCCCAACAGACCACAGGCTAGTTCCCGTCCCTGTTCCCTATCACTCCAGTAAACATCCCTTTATTTTCTTCCCCTGCTGACCGGCCAGGACTGCCAGCCCAGAGAAGAAACAGGTGATGGAGAAGCCAGCAGTGGAGGAGACCAAGGAGGAGAAAATTGAGCTGAAATCCATCACAGCTGACGGAGAGTCCCCACCTACCACCAAGGTGAGGAGCCATCTTCTTCCAGGAGCTGGGGGAGGGAGGCAGGGGGCGGGGAACACGGTCTTCCCAGGCCAGATGCCCATGGAGAAGAGCAAGGAGTAAAAGAGACTCGGGGGACTAGGTCAGCAAGGGTAGAGCAGGAGAGCAGGAACGTGAAGAGCAAGCAGAGTGGTTGGATCCCAGCCTTTTGCTAATGTTTTGAGGGTCTGTGAAATGTAATAAGCATGTATTTTTGAGTCAACAGCTCAGCCACTGACTATAATGTATTTCAGAGCTACTCCAAGCCTTTAAAACTTGGAGCATACCTAACTGGACTCCTCCTCCTCTTTCCCTTGGCTGCCTAGATCAACATGGACGACCTCCAGCCCAATGAAAATGAAGATAAGAGTGTCTACCCCAACCCAGAAACTACAGGTACAGTTCCACTGCCTAACCCTGGTGGTCAGGGAAAGACCCAAATTCTAAAGCTATGTGAAAGTAACCACATATTAGGGACCAACGGTTCCAATTTTCCTCTACAAGTACCTTGCATCACTGAATGTCTCTAGTCTCTGTACTTAAGTGCCATCAATTATCATCTGGTGGAAAACTCTATTCTTGGTTTGCTCATAATAGTATAAGATTAAATAAATTAAATTATGTCTGTGCAGTGCTTTCGTGTCCTTTGGAAGATGGATTCTGTGTGTATTTGAGATTTTATTATATCCTATGTTGTAAAGTCATTATTAACTTTATATAATTTATTAGTAGAACATATGTTGCAGCATTATGCACACTAAATAATAATAGTAAATTCCAAATCTGTCTTGTCCTTACTCAGGAGGCAGTGCTGAGTACAAGGACAGCTGCCACCACAGATGTCCCACTTGTTGCTTGTGAAACGCTTTCAGGACTCTGATTATAACAAGGGCTAGTACCAACTTAGTCTTCTCATCTTCTATCTGATGTAAATTGGCAGGCAGTCTCCTTCCTTCTGGAGGGATTACATGTCAGAGTTCCTTTGGCCTCCCTGCAAGAGTTACTTCTCTGCTTCCTGAACCCCACATCCTGGACCAGCCCTGGGTTTGCCTTCCTTTCACCTACAAATGAAGATGTTATCACCACCTTCAAGCCTGCAGTCAATTACACACAATCCAGGGACTGTCGATTTCACTGACATTTCCTTCTCTGTGTAGCTTCCACTGTATTTGGGTTGGTAACCACATTAGGAGGCTGACAACCTTCTGCATTTATAAGCAAAGCTAGGTTTTTTTTTTCCTTTTGCTTTTCCTCCACTCCCTGCACCAGTTGGTTCTCTGGTGGATTCTCTGCAAGAACACTAGTGGCCACTTTCTGTTGTCCTGGGAAGCAGGCTTCCTGTGGTCACTTCATTCCTTCACCTCCCTCTGCTGGGGGAACAGTGCCGGGCCTGCTGGGACTGGCACAAGAGAGTAGGAAGGGCATCTCCAGGTACAGGGCACTAAGGCTTTTGAAGTTTTAAAACCATTTTGGATGGAAACTGTTACAGAATTTCAAAGACAAATATTGGCCAACTGCAATGGGAGAATTTTTGTCTTGGTCTGCTCAGTCTAGGGGAACAAATGAACTTTAAAATGACATTTTTTTTAGATAATTGGGGGAAATTGAATATGGACTGGGAACTAAATGATTTAAAGTAGTTTTTTGTTAATCTTATTGGTATAATGACATCTTGTAGTTCTATTTTTAAAATGGTGAAATTTTTATAGCTGGAGTCCAAAATATTTAGAAGTTTTAAAATAGTCCAATTTTTTAAAAAATGGGGACAGGGAAGTAAATGAAACAATATGGGCAAACTGTCAACACTTGTTGGAGCTGGGTATGGAGGCCCACCATGCAAGTGTCTCTACTTGCAGGATTGTTCTAAGGAGGATTGTTATTATTAGGGTTTAAAAAGAAAGGCAGTAATAAAACAAACTGGTCTAGGCCCTCAGCAGAGTTTGTCCCATGTGCCTAAGGCTTCAGGAGGTGACTTCCCTGCACACAGCTGCTCTCTCTACATGGCAGCGGGCAGACACACTCCTGTGACGATAACCTCCAGTTTCCTCTTTCTAAATATCCTCCCGAGTTCTCTCTTCTTTGTTGCTCTAATGAAATAAAAAAGAAGCCAGTCAAGGGGAGAAAAGACTCTTGAGGATACTCTTGTCATCGTATCAGCCATCGTAGAAATGTCTGTTTGTTTGCCCAGCTTTAAGAATTCTTGGAATGGTTTTGCTTTCAACTGAAAAGCTATTTCCACAATCTGCTGATTCCTCAGGATTGTTTAGATTTTTTTAATGTGTGTCCTTTTCCCCATTCAAATGACCACCCCTCTCCATTCTCTTTCATACCCAGGCCGTTGTTTCTTGTGGTCCCAAGCTTCTCCTACCTCTGGTCCATAGAAAACAGAGGCTGTCCTGCCTCAGCCACTCCCCTCCCCCACACCACCACCACTCAGCCTTCAACACCAGCTTCTAAGCAACCCTCTCATATGTTCACTATTTCTGGTTTCCGTTTTCTCACCCGAGGACAGTGGTCTTAAAACTAAGGGCTCTGAATGCCCTGCCCCCTCCTCCAAGGCTGAATCAGCCTCTGCTTCCCAGCTCCTCCCACCTCCTGTACCCCTTCCTGCTTCTGCAAAGCAGGTCCATGCTCCCTTAGTACAGTGCAGCAGACACCCAAGGGACTCCACCAAGGTCATTTGACTTGTGGTCTCTGTTCTTGTCACCATCTCCTTCTTGCCTCCTTCTCCTCTGATCTGCTGTTGTCCTCCACTTACTTCCTCTTCTGCTTCCACAGCTTCCTGTGCTCCTTGGGAGGCAGCTCTAGGGAGCATTGCCCTGCCTCACTTTCCACCAGACTTCCAGAGAGAAAAAGGACAGTGCCAGAGAGCCCTCACGCTCCTCTCCTGCTCACTCCTGTCTCCCTTTGCCATCGGCCCTCTCTGCAGGCTGCTGTGTTGACTTGTCCAGGTTGCACCCAAAGTCAGGTGTGGAGCCGCCGGGCAAGGGCTGAACTACAGCCTGTACTTCGCTGGCCGAGGCCTCTGTCCTCTGCCTTCATGTGAACGCCCAAAGGAGGGGCCTGTGTCTAATTGGCAGAGTGGCTATCCAGGCCAGCGGTTGTCAGTCAGTCCTTCCCTCTTGGTTTACTCTCCAAAGCTCCCCAGTTGGTTTTAGCCTACCAGCTTGGCATACACTAAAGTTTAGAAATATCTACCTGCCCAGGAAGATAGACATTGTGCCACGATTGTGCTTTTATTTAATTGATTAATTAATTTGAGTAGACCTACACATGTTCTTGAGAGTCATTAAGACTTAAAATTAACAAGCACAGTGGAGAAGAAATGTGAATGATGCCAGAGAATGTATAGTATAGGACCAGATGTTGTGGGGAGCACTTGAACTGCTGCAGAGGGTTTGAGGAGAAGAGCAGTGAGGTGGGGGGAGGGGGTCATCAGGGAGGCTTCATGGGCAAGGGTGGTTTTGCCTGGCTTTGACTTTAGAGAGTTGGAGAGGGAAGATGTTATTTCAGGACCATATCACTGTTATAAACCCAGAGCTAGAAGAACCCTTGGAGACATTCATTCACTTAGTAACTACTTAGGAAGCACCTACTGTGTGCCAGGCACTGTGGCAGGCTGACATTTCGGTGGGGAGGTAGACAAGGAGCAAAAAAGTAAACCAACCAGAAAGGTAACATCAGGTACCAAAACCGAGGACTGTGTTTGAGTCACTGGGCTGCTTCTTTGGCTGTGAAGTCCCTAAAGCCTTGTTTGAGGATGCAACATTTGGGCCGAAAGCTGAGTGAGTCATATGGAAATCTGAACCAGACACATGGGAACTGAAAGAAGGCGCTTACTTGGTGGAGGTCCTGGCAAGTGCAGAACCTCTGCGTAAAATGCACTTGTCTGTGGAGGAATCCAAAGAGGCTCATGTGCCTGGAGCAGAGAGGTCAAAAGGGCCAGGGCCAGGTTGAGTGACCAGGGCTGGGTCAGAGCAGGTGCGCAGGGCAGACTAGTGCAGGGCAGGGCAGGCCCAATTCCTCATGAGGACCTCAGGAAAGCATGAAGCTAGTAAGTATGTTTTCTGTAAACACAAATGATTAAGGCATGAACAGGAAAGGGTTGGGTCATTCAGAGCAAAACTGAAAAGCATACAAACAGCTTGAAAGAAATTTAAGATCCTTAGTTAAATTTCACTTGTCAATATTGATTTTTAGGTCTAGTTGATTTAGTTCAAACTCTAGTTTTGCTTATTTTGCTTTTAGTCAAAGATTTTACCTTTCTTTTACATGCCCAGGTTTGTTACAAACGTTTCAACCCTTGGCCAGTACACAGTTTTTCATCTTGTACCCCTCTTCTGCTGGAAATATTGATTGCATTGCTGGTCAGCTCTAATTACTGTAGGGAAAGAATCTGATTTATTCAATCTATATTCTGCTGGTCCTCCAAAAAACCCTTGGGTTCCAAAACACTTTCTGCTTGATAGAGAACCACGTTCTGTGACAGACATTTTTTCTTGTGGCTTCTTTTTAACCAGAGGAGAGTGTGCAGAGCATGGCTGGTCCAGAGATGAACTTCCCAAACTATCTTTCCAACCAGCTTAGTCTCCCCCTGACCTCTTCTTGTGCAAATTCCCCTTTCTTTTAGAGCTAATGTTGGTGTAGAATTTTAATCATAAAGAAATAAGGGCTGCTATGTGCCAGGCATGATTTTGCTCTCCACAGTTTTCAGCACAGAAAGAGGTAGAACAGGCACGTTTAAAATCAGCATCTAAGGCACTGTGTCCTGAGTAACTGGGAAGCCGAAGGCGCTGCTGGAACCCACAGGTTATTACTCCCTGGAGCCCAGATTCTCGGGAAAGCCAGGTGAATGATGCTGTCTGAAATGGGGGTTCTTCCTTGCAGCTCTGCGAGAGGGAGTTGACGGGCAGTTCCATTAGGGAGAGAGCGTGTGAAAGGAGAAAGCCCACAGTGAGTGAATTCATTTCCTGGGGCTGCCATGACAAATTACCACAAACAACAGAAATGTATTCCCTCAAAGCTCTAGAGCCAAGACATCTAAAGGCAAGGTGTTGGTAGGGCCACACTGCTGAAGACTCTAGAAAGGATGCCCTCTTCTCTCTTTCTAGTTTCTGCTGCTTGCCAGCAGTCCTTGGTGTTCCTGGCTTGTAGCTGCTTCACTCCAGTCTCTGCTTCTGTGTTCACATGGCCTCCTCCCTGTGTGTGTGTGTCTCTCCTTAGAAGGACAACAGTCCCTGGATTTAGAGCCCACCTTAGTCTAGTATAACTTCATCATAACTAATTACATCTGCAAAGGCACTATTTCCTAAATTAGGTCACATTCTGAGGCCCTGGGAAGGCATGAATGTTGTGGGCATTGTTCAACCTAGTACAGCGAGTGTTCAGAAAATAGTGTGATGTGAGTGGAAATTCTGTCAGAGAGTAACAGCAGGCAAAGATCACACTGAGAAAGATGCTAAGCACTAATTTACAGGTAAGAGTCTCTCCCATGGGGACAGATAGTAAAAAGAACAGGTAACATGCTATATGAACCATTTTAAGGTACATATGAACTATTATCCCATCTTGTAGGTGGCAAAACTGAGGCACAGAGGGACTAAATAAAACTCCTGTAGCCAGGAAGACACAGAGCCAAGATTTAGATCAAGGCATTGGCTGAAGAGTCCATTTCTTAACTCCCATTCCCCTTCCAAACATTTTAAATGCAGTTCATCAAAATAGGGCATGCACTGGTCTCCTTCCATGTGCAGTGAGCTTGCAAACATAGGGAGAAGTCATTTACCTTAGGTCCACATTAAATGTGGCCACTGGCCGGAAGAACAAAGAAGTGTCTAGACATTTGAATGTAGGGCCTGTTGCGGTCAGCATAACTGCCCCATCATAACTTTTTTGTACTTTCAGGTATGCGGAGAGCACAAGGATGGGGTTGTTTGCAAGGGATCCCACAAGTCCACTGAGCCATATCTTTTCTCCTACCTGGCAATGCTCTAGTCTTACCTGGTCTCCTTTTCTAGTGCATTATAGCTAGAATGATCAACTACCCCAAATTGCATGGGACTAAGGGGTTTCTTGGGATGTAGGGATTTCAGTTTAAAAACCAGCACAGTCCTGGGAAAACTGGCATGAGTTAGTCACCTTACTTAAAACCCCCTGTATCATGTGCTGCCAGCACAGTCTTTCTCTAACATGGGTGGATCTCCAGCAGTGCCTGCAGAGAGAGAGCTGAGTGTCTGTCCTGGTTGGTATCCTGTTTTTTGAAATATAATGACATCTTTGATTCCTGTCAGTATGAAGGTATCTGGAGTAGGCAGCACAGTGGTGAAAATAAGTGGGAGTTATTTAGAATGTGCTTTTTTTTTTTTTCAGGAGAAGAGGATGAGGAGGAGCCTGAGATGCCTGTGGGCCCACGCCCACGCCCACTTTCTGAGCTGCACCTCAAGGAAAAGGCAGTGCCCATGCCCGAAGCCAGTGCATTTTTCATCTTTAGCCCCAACAACAGGTGTGTGAGAATAGTGGGGCGGGGGACCTGTGCTCTCTCCACAATCCAAGGCCAGCAGGTGCCAAGCTCTGGGTGGAGCCTGGGACTGCCCCAGCTCCCCACAACATGTGTGAAAAGAGGGGCGTTTTGTCCCTCAGCATGTTAAATATATTATTCTGCTTTAAAGTAAGCTGTCATTTCTACTATCATTTCTTTGTAGGTAATCAGTCCCTTGTGTCTTTTTAGGGAAAACTGTTCTGGATTCTGAATTAGAAGACCTGTATTTATTTTTCTCTTCATTTTTTGAAATGTGTAAACTCTATTTCTATTCTTTTAGTGATTATTCTTGGTAATAGGAAGTCTATTTAATTTAACAAAGTCTAAAGCCAAACAATATCTTTAACTCCATGCAAAATAGGAGCTTAGACTGTTTTAAGTCCTGTCAACCCCTCCTGCCTCACCTATTATTGTTGATTAGTGTTTAGTCTTGACTTTTGTTTTTAACCCAAGTTAGACATTATTATCAGTATTATTATATAGACAGTATATGTTTGGATTTACATACAACTTACCAGTCCATCCTTCTGTAGTCATTTTTTTCTTCCTATGATACATTAATTTTTTTCTCTTTTTAATTACAGTTGACATACAATATTACATTAGTTTCAGGTGTCCTAAAGCACATTCTTGAGAAGTGCCTGAAGTTCCTTTGTGATAACTTCATTTGGTCTCTCTCTGTTTATCTGTAATTGTTTTCATTTCTTGTTCTTGAAACATGTACACAATTTTATATTGACAGGTTTTGTCCCTCAGCATGCTAAATGTGTTACTCCACTTTGAGACTGGCTGTTTTTCCCAACTCCTACTATCATTTCTTTGTAGGAATCTGCCTCTTATCTCTAGCTGCTTTTACCATCTGCCATTGCCTTTGACGTTGTGCAGATTTGCTACCATATGACTAGACATGGACATTTTTTTCCCATTTATCTTGCTGGGGATATGTCATGCTTCCTAAGTCTATGGATTTATATTTTTGTTCAGTTCTTGAGTCACAATGAAAATTAAAATAGAATTACTAATTCTTGAAAAATTACAGCCATAATCTTTTAGTATTGTCCCTCCTCATTCTCTCTATTCTTTCCTTCTGGTACTCTAATTAGACACATGTAAGACCTCATTCTGCCCACTCTCTCTCTTAATGTGTCTTGCATATCTTTCATCTCCTTAGCTCTCTTTTGGTATGCTGGGCAATTTCTTCAGATATATCTTCCAATTTCTTAATTCTCTCTTCAACTTTGTCTATGTTAAATCAGTTTTTATATCTACTATTATATTTTCCATTTCAGGCAGTTCCATTTCTTGCTTGATTTTCAGGATTCATCTGTCTATATCTAACAACTACCTATTATCATCTTTGTGATCAAGTCCTTTATTTCATTAAATATTTCAAATACAGTTGCCCTATATTCCATATCTGATATATTTAATGTTCACAGTGTTTGGTGGAGAGGAGGAGTCTAAATCACTTATTTGTTGTGGTTTTTTTCTGATTTGCCATCTTAGTGGCTTATGTTCTTAGATGTTTAATGATCTTTGACTGTGGCTCAGGAGTGCATATTAATTGGTGAGATTCCTATGAGCCCAAATTATTGTGGGGAAGCTTTCTCCCAAATGCTCCTGGCTTGAAAGGAAGTTTCCTGATAGCAGTGCTGCTGCTGGCAGCTCTGCCCTTCCTGGCTACCTACCACACAGGCCCCAGGTCGAAGGATTTCTTTGTTTGTTTGCCTATTTGAAGAGATGGTCATTGTAGACATCTCCTAACTCTCATGAAACCAGAATTGTCACCCTGAAGGGTGTGGCTCAGTTGGTTGGAACATCATCCCATAACTGAAAGGTTGTGGGTTCAATTCTCTGTCAGGGTACATGTGTCAGTTGCAGGTTTGGCCCCAGGTCTGGGTGTGTGTGATCTGTAGCAGGGGTGCATACAGGAGCAACCAAATGATTCTCTCTCGCATGGATGATTCTTCCTCTCCCTTCCACTCACTGTAAAAGCAATGAAAAATATCCTCAGGTATAAAAAAAGGATTTAAAAATCCTTAAAAAAAAACAGGATTGTCTCAAAGAGCTTGCCTTCTCAAGGATTTGGGGCTTCTTCAGCAGTAGGGTCTTTCAGAGCATTTAGTCAGCCACAGCATCAGGAGCAGAGGTCTGAGGCCAGGTGTTTTCAAGCCCTCAGTCTTGCACTCTACAGGTTGTGTTTCTGGGCGAGCTCTTGGATTTCATTCTTTTTATTTATAAAATGAAAGCAATGGTATCACCCATACCGCCTTTCTAAATTGTCAAGATGAGATAGCACATGAGCACCCTTGGCATTCAGGGGTATAGCATTTATGGTACTATCAGGTGAGTGCCCAGAGGTCCATGTATGTAGTGCTTTGTAATTGTGCTTAGGTATGGAATTGAATCGTACACCCTGAAACTATTACACAGAGGAAATCGCCTCAACGGAATGTAAGTTCAGTCATTCTCTTGCAGTCCACATCTCTGGGTGGCTCTGTTGTTCTCTGTACATAAAAATATGAAATAGATCTCAAAGTGGGTCTTTTAATGACAGGGAAAAGAAGTCCCCCAACAAAAGCCAGTTAATGTCACAGCGGTATTTGAAAGGTCTCAGATGTAATCCCCTAAAATGTCAAAAGTTTACTGTCAATGAAAAGGTTTTATTTTTTTTCACAATTAAAAGGTTTTTATTTTTATTTTTTAAATGATTTTATTGTTGTTCAAGTACAGTTATCTGCATTTACTCTCCACCACTCCCTCCCACCCCAGCCATCTCCACTTCCCTCCCTTGATTCCACCCGGCCTTGGTTTTGTCCATGTGTCCTTTATCGTTGTTCCAGAAAACCCTTCCTCCTTATCCCTACCCCCTCCCCTCTGGTTACTGTCAGTTCTTTATTTCAATGTCTCTGGCTACATTTTGCTTGCTTGTTTGTTTTGTTGATTAGGTTCCACTGAAAGGTGAGATCATATGGTATTTGTCTTTCACCACCTGGTTTATTAGTGAAAGGGCTTTAGAACAGCAAAGTCCTGTACAGATGGGCCTCGTGGTGGGGGCAGGGCTGTGGCTGTTGTTCCCCAGCAGCAGTTAAGACTTCAGACTGAAGAACCCACTCCTCAAACTGACAAGCACCTTCTGGAGGCTGAAAGGAGGACTTGAGGCTTCTGAGACCTAGGGAGCTGCTTTCCTTGCCTTCCTGACATGCTTCTCTTCTTCTCTCCTCCGCCTCACGCAGGTTTCGCCTACAGTGCCACCGTATCGTCAATGACTCAATCTTCACCAACCTGATCCTCTTCTTCATTCTGCTCAGCAGCATTTCTCTGGCTGCTGAGGACCCTGTCCAGCACACCTCCTTCCGGAACCACGTATGCATTCCCTTTGTTCTCTGTACCCCTCCTCCTGGGAACATGACCGTCCCCACGGCTTCTGTTGCTGACTTCATTGTGCAGTCAGAAGCCCAGCTCCAAAACTCAGTCAAATGCACAATAAAGGTTTCTTTACAAGAGTAAGGCTTTGGTAGAAACCATCCAAGGACCACAAGCAAGTAAGAGAACATGTACCCAAATACTTCAGGCTGGCCTGATTGGCAAAGGTCAGGACTTTCATTGCCCTGTGGATGTTCCCCAGGAAGCTCTGGTTTCCTGTACAGTTAGTAAAAGAATAACCACTGACTTCCTGACTTGCTCCCTCCATACTCCTAATCATTAGGGAGACAGGGAGCATTGGCAAACAGGTGCCAGTGTTAAGGCTGATCTTATAGAAAAGAGCTTCGGAGACCCTCTGTGGAGTAGAAAACTAAACTTGGAGACCCACCCAAGGCTCCGGTGAACAACATTAAAGGTTAGAATAAGAACTGCTCTATCTTCAGAGCCTCAAAACAAATCCCAGCCAGGTGGGCGTGAAGAGAGGGACCTACCAATCTAAAGCCATAGCCGTGTAAACCACTTGGCGGTCCTGCTTGGTCCAGAGCTTTTTTACTGAGAGGGGTATTGGCCCTAGGTCCAATCTACTGAGATACAACAAAACACAAAAGCACGCAGCCTGCCCCCAGCCTGGGGGCGCACTCTCATGTGCCCCAAAAGATACAACCCCGATGTAGATTTCCACCAATACGAAAAACTGGCTGAGTCATACAAGTGTTAGTTAAGCACTTGGCATGTTCCTGCAAAACCAAACAAACAAACCCCACTCTCTGTCCTTTTGACAAGTGTTTATCTCAGTGGTCTGATTTGGGTTTGATTAATGAGAAAAGCCTCAAACCAGATGCGGTGCTGACTCAGGACCAGCCAAGGCCTGCCCTGGAAGCCCCCCTCACACATCTGGGGACTGTGTGCAGACCTAAGCTACCTGAGGTCAGCCCTCTCTGGGGCCCAGTGGTGCGTGCACCACTCGTCTCCTAATGCATTTCTACTTGTCTCCATGTGAGAAGGCTCAGGTGGCATGTATTGCAGTTTTGAAATGTGATACCTTTTCTGGTAAACACCCACTGACCTCTCCTCCCATCCTGCTTCCTCCCTTTCCCTCTCCATCCCCACTCTGTTTCTTTGTTTTGCAGATTCTGTTTTATTTTGATATTGTTTTTACTACCATTTTCACCATTGAAATTGCTCTGAAGGTAAAGTCCTGACCTCCCCACTCCTCCTGCACACAAGCTGTCTGCCGCTGCCTGTCCCTAACACACATGCTCGAGTTGATGCCCGGTTCCCTCTCAGAGCCACTAATCCAATTGTGCTTATTTTTCAGATCCTAGGCAATGCAGACTATGTCTTCACTAGTATCTTTACATTAGAAATTATTCTTAAGGTAATGCAATCTGAGAAATGCATTCTTTCTCTATCTCCATCCTGTCTGTCTGTCTCTTTTTTTCTCTTGTTTCTTTTACTGTCTCTCTTTAACTTTCAAGCCTGAAGTCAGTAGAATTAGGGCCCCTGACTTGGCACTAGCACTCTGCTCAGGCTCAGAAGCCAGAAGAAACCCAGCCCACCCCCACACCTGCCTCCTCCTGGCCTGGTGTTTGGCTGCCGGTGTTAACACTGGTGCGGTCCTGTCACTGGGTCTGGCCCTGTGCCGGTGAGCAGTGCCCCACACACCCCATCTCCGGGCAGTTGGTGATGGACCCTGTTTGGAACCCTCCTTCGCTCCTTCTACCCAGGAGATACCACACAAACTGCACAGGTGGAAGAGCTTAGGGGCCATGGCAGAGTCACTCTGGCTACCCCCTTTGATGCCCTTTGTCAGCACCTTCCTCAGTCCTTGCAGCAGACATTGGGCCTACCACAAAATTTGGGCCCAGTCTCCCCACCGAGAGCTTTTGATAGACAACTCTACATTACTTCTATACCCTCGGTTACCTGCCTAAAAGCTTTGTTGCAATACCTTGCTCTGAGAATCAAGGAGGGTAGTAATACTGGAGACCTAAAAAGAGGGGGTAAGAACCAAGTTCTGGACGAATCTGGAGCGCTCAGGCTCGGGGCCCAGACTTGAGGGCTGACTGCCAGCAGCCCTGGGGGCAGGCAGCCTTGTCTGCAGAAATGCTGCTGCACCTCCATCCCGAGTGGGCAGAACCCACCTAGAGCAGCACTGGGGTGAGGTGGGGTTTTTTCTTATTATTTATATCAATACACAATTAATAGGTTACTTTTATTTTATTATGATTACTAACTTTTTCCAGTATACTTCTGAGCCTCTAACCAATGCATCTCCACGCCAGCTCATCTGTGATATAGCACATGGGTTCTGAGACCTGGGAAAAGTGCATTTCCACATTTGTCCTGCTCTCAGAGTGAGGTCCTGGGCTTTACCCTAACCCCAGCACAGACCCAACAGAAGGGTCAAGGGCTCTGAAGCACGTGCTGCAGCTTCGTGTCTTCTTCCTGGGACACTCTCCTAGGCTGCTGCTCCCAAGGAGTCCAGGTTCCCTTTTTGCCCCTTCAGGTGGCTGATGCAAACCAGTGCCCACACCTGACCATTCTTTTCCTGCTGGAACGCCCAAGTCATGACTGAGTCTTTCATGTGCATGGCAGTTCTGTCATTTCCAGTTACAATTTGAGTGGAGCAGTTGTGTGTATGTGTTTGTGTGTGAGTGTGGTGCTTGTGTTTCTTTTGTCCAGACCCCCAGCCTCTGTCCCTGGTTCCAGCTAATAAGACTGTTTCTTAGTTTTTCTCTCTGCTCAGCCAAGTAGATCTGGGTAGGTCCTGGTCCCTGGGGTGGGGAGAGGGGACCAAGAGCGGCCTGACTGTATTAGGAGGCAATGATGGAGAGCCCCCTTTCTGGGAAGAACTGAATCTTTTCAGACTCGGGGAGGTACATGAACACCCCAAATTCTTTCCTGTAACAAGCAAAGCTCTGAAGCTCAATTCCTAGCACCCCTACAGAGCTTCCCAGTGGATTTCAATGGTGCTGTTTGCTGTAAATTCTGCCATACAAGCAGAAGTGAAAGGTCTCTTCACAAGCATTGTCCTGGCAGACCCTTCCCTTCCCTTGCCCCCTCACCCTCTTCTACTCTCTTATTCTCATTGTGCTTCTCTAAACATAAACACCAACCCCAGTACACTCCCTGCACCTCCTTCCCACCGGGTCCCTCTGCCTGGCCTGAAGGCTGAGTGTCCTGGCCTGACACAGACAAGGGTGGTCATCCAAGAGGAACACCTAGTATCAGGAGCAAATGAAAGATCTGGGGATGTTGGGCTTTTGAGAGAAAAGGCTTATAGGACCACAATAGTTGGACTGTCTGTCACCTAGAGAAGGAGGGAGCTGGAACCAGGACCAGTGAGCAGAAATTACAAAAGATGAAACACATTCAATAACTGCAATTGCCGCCTATGGAAGTGGTGGTCGGTCACCCATGGCCACTTTTCCAACTCAGAGTCAGGGATCCTATGTCCCACTCCCTTTCTCTCCTCAGGCTGAAAACATCCCAGCAGTGAGTGGGCTTTTCCTAGGCAGTGGCCCAGAGCTGTTAGGAAACAGGCACTTGGGGTGGGTGGGGGCAGTGCAGCAGGGGCGGCCAGCAAAACAAGGTAAAGGACAGACTTTGCACTGGGGGCCCGAACCTGGCCTTTTTTGGTGCCCTGAGTGCCAGAGGTAGTTTTCAAGCAAATGCTCCATTTTTTAGCATCCACTTGCCTTTTGTCTTCAGCCACTCTTCCTCCGGTCCTGCTGGGCATGTGCCCCTATGCACACAGTCACACTTACACTACTTCCCCTGACAAAACAGGAACCCAAAGCAAAGGACAGAAGTTGGCACTCTGAGCCCCAGCCACCCACCTACCAAGGAATGCTTTCTCCCCAATGCAGAAGGCTCTGTCGGAGCTCAGTAGTGTCCTCACACTATTTACACCAGGAGCAAGGTGGGGGCAGAGCCAGTACCCTCTCTAGGATGAAGAGTGAGATGGCTAGTGAAGGTCTCGGGCTTCGGCAGGCGCAGAGCACTTTGGTTAATATGAGCCGTGGGAGCCACCCAAATCTGCTCTCTGGCTTCCCCAGTCTTCATGGAGAGGCAGGACAGCAAGCCCCTCCAGATGGCAGACCTGCAGGAGAGCTCTCCATTCCCCTGCAACCTTTTATATAATCTGTTCATTTCTAGAAACTGTTGCAGGACACAGGTGCCTGAGTCCCCTGTAACCCCCTGTGGCAAGAGATAAATGGAAAGAATTAGGTTGCAAGAGCTATTTTTGCCAATTTCCCCTGTGTTTGCTTTTGAATTGCTCTGCAGACATGCTGCCCTGAGCATGCTCTGATTCAAAGAGATGAGATGGACCCTGGTGCCCATGGAGCCACTCTCAGCCTCTCAGTTATCAGCTTCAAATGTTTCTCCTTAGCTGGCGCTTTGTGGCCCATGACCTTTCATAGTCCTTAACCCGAAAAGCCACTGCCTTTAGTTCAAGTCAGCAAAATTGGAAAGGCTATTTGTTGAACGCCTAGAGTGGCTTTATATGGAGCTCTGAGGGAGGTAATAATAGCCAAGACCTGGAGTAATACTCATCATTCCACATGTTCCCTTTTGGTTTTCCAAGGGTTCTCATGTGGTTTCTGGTGTGTGGTATGTGCTTCAGAAAGTCAGGGAATCTTATAGATGAGGAAACAACTTCCCCTGTGCAGAAGGAATCCAGAATTTATATCTAAGCCATCTGGCCCCAACACTTACATAGCACTTACTATCAGCAGGATTTTGTGCTAAGTGATTGGCATGTAATAACTGAAGCCTACAACCCTATAGGGGAGATATTATCAGTTCCCCCCATTCCAAAACAAAGAATAGTTCAGTAACTTGCCCACACCATACAAATAAAACAATAGGTCTGGGATTCAGACTCAGGGGCCTGGCTCCAGGGCCTGTGCTCTTTAACACTGTACCACACAGCCCCTGTGAACACACAGCTCTTGTCTTTCAAGAGCATGCAGTCTAGAAGCAAGGCAGTAGAACTGAGTTTAGGATACTTGCACGGATCAGAAGTACGTTTGAGGCTAGGACGTTGAGAGGTGCCGATGGCCAGAGTTACTGGTAGAACTCACTGGGCAGCAGAAGATCACCTGCCCCAATTTGCCTGAGACTGAGCAGCTGCCTGGGACCCCAGACTTTCAGAACTGACCTGGGTAAATCCTAGGAAACCGGGATAGTTGTGACCCTACCAGACATGCCCACCTTCCCCAGATGACTAGTGTCCTGAGCTGGCCCTGAGGCAGATGGAATTTGGAGAGGAGGTTGGTCAGGACAGCACAGCATGGGGCCCCTCAGAGCTGGTGTCACAGACATGTGATGAACTGTAGACAGAGAATGAGAAAGGGATGGTGGCCTAGTTTGAGAGGGCCTCAAATACAGGATTGAAGAGTCTGGAGTTGCCTGTAGGTAGAAGGAGCCACTGATAGATCCTGAGCTGGGGATTCTTTGGTGGCTGTGTAAACGGTTGTAGAACCCTTTTCTTGCACTGTATCCTTCTTCCGTCCTGCCTGCACCCCAGCCCTCTGTCACCTCTCTGCTCTTCAGCGGGGCCTGCCATGGGGTGCTGCGGGAGGGAAGAGTGGTGTGAGGGGCTCCCTGGGGCTCAAGCAGGTGCCACTCACATTGGCGTCTCTCCATGCCTCCCTGCAGATGACTGCTTATGGGGCTTTCTTGCACAAGGGCTCCTTCTGCCGGAACTACTTCAACATCTTGGACCTGCTAGTGGTCAGCGTGTCCCTCATCTCCTTTGGCATCCAGTGAGTAGGGCCCCCTCTGCCATGGTGGGGCATGCAGCTAGGAATGGCTGTCAGACAGGACATAAGACTCCAGAGGGCCTTCCTGCCCCCTGCCTGTGGGCCTCTGATGGGGTTGGTGCGGGGCCTCTTACTTGTACATGGCAGCTTTCATTTCTTGTGCCCGTGTTGTGTCCTCAGTGGTGTCACACTTGAGGGATGCCAGTCCAGGAAGAATACAGTGAAATGTCTGGGTCTTTCCATGGCAGGAGGGCCAGGCCCAATTACAATGGGAAGAATGTCACCAGGGCCTTCCTACCCCCTCCACCATGTGCCCAGTGCCCTTGGCTGCCCTCAGCAACATGGGCCTACCATTGCCACCATCTGTCCAGATCTCTGGTCCATCCTCCCTCCCTTCCTCTCACCTCTGTCTGCAGTCAAAGCACCTGGTTGAGAGGGAAGGATTGATCTCAATCTTGGCTACACAGTAGAACCACCTAAGTAGCTTTTAAAAAGACATTTGCCCCAGAGATTTTATTTAATTGGTCTGGGGTACAGCCTGGGCTTTAAGATTTTCAAAAGCTCTACAAGTGATTCCACCGTACACCCAAGGTTGCAAGCTTGCTCAGGTTTAAAAGACTCTGATTACAAGTTTCTCCCAAGCTTTATCAGCTAATAGTGCTAATCCTGCACTTGAACTTTCTAAGTACTTTCACACACACATTCTTCTATGGTCGTCAGAAAAACCTATGAGGTAGGCATGTCAAGTGCAATTATCACCAGTTTATACAGAGCAAAACTGAGCTTCACAACATGATGAGACTTGCCCAAGGTCATACTGATGGCAAAGATGCAACTCCGGGTCTCCCCTCCCAAGGGTGTTTTCATGGTCAGCCTAGACAGTGTGGAGATGGGGATGGATATTAGGAGTCATACTCTCCTCTAATCATCAATAATATGAACCACAACCATCTTCCCCTTAAGCCTACAGGTCTAATCCCAGCACAACCATGAAATCACTATTTAACCTTGAACCAAGAACTCCCCCCTTTAGTTTGTGCTGTTCCCATCTACCTTTAAATCCCTTCCACTGTGATTCAATGCAAACCGACTCTCTCCCTGAGACACCCAGATAGGTAGGAATGTCCTTTGAATCCTTTATAATAAAAGAGCCATAACCAGAGAAATCAGATCTTTCTACCAGCTCCCTCTTGAGCACATCACCCTGACCACCTAAAGAATGAACTTAGCACTTGCTGAGCTGTCATACATTTGTAGGTCCCAAGGTGGGTACAAGGCTCTCCAAAAGCTAAAGAAGATTGTCTTGATCAGATGGTTAGCATTGTGAAGGTTAGGATTCACTTCAGAGTTGCTCACCGAGCTGACAAGGTGAATAAGGCCACCTGGGTTGATGGATAGCCCCTCCCGGCAGAGGGCCTGCTGGGGCCTGGCACCCTAGTGCCTCCTTTCTGCTAGGGACAGCATTGGCCTAAGGCTCCCAGAGGTTCTTTTGTGGCCCTGGCATGCTAGGTGTGTGGGACCTATTGTGTAGAATCATTCCTCCAAGTCCTGACTGAGCTATGAACCAGAGCACTTTACATATAAGTATACTGGGCAACTACCTAGCACATGTGTTGAGAGATAAGCACCAAAATATCTCCTACCCAGTTTCACAGATGAAGAAACAAGGGCTCAGAAAAGTTAGGAAACTGATCCTCAGTGACTTGTTGGTACATGGCAGAGCTGGGTTTGAACTCAGGTCTGCATGTCCAAAGCTATCTCTGTGATGAGTCTCGAGGCCCCTGAGAAGCACGTGATATTACTAGTGACTCCTGCTGAGCCGCTTTTCATATTTACTCACCATAGGAAAGTCCAGGTGTCAGGCAAGCCTCATGTCCCCATGAGGTGGGTGGGAGCTGGGAGGAGAGCAGGGTCCTGGGATGAGAAAGCCCCCTTGACAGTTTTGCCTGGGGTTGGCCTGCCAGGACACCCCTCTCCACATTATCTGCTACTTTACCAAAAACGGAAGAAGCTAAGCTCACTCCCTGCCCTGCTTTTCTTTCCCAGGTCCAGTGCAATCAATGTTGTAAAGATCTTGCGAGTTCTGCGAGTCCTCAGGCCCCTGAGAGCCATCAATAGAGCTAAGGGACTAAAGGTGAGAAGGGCAGGCCTGAGAGGGGAGCCATTAACCCAGCAAGCACCCACCAGTCTGTGGACTGGCAGAAGCTAAGCAGAAGAGGGGTAGACTATAGGCGGAGGGAATGATCAGATCGAGTACCTGCCCTATTGGAGCCTGAACTCTCCTGCCTGCTTGCCCAGTCCCACTCCCAGAACTGTAACAGGCAACCACTCAAAATCTGGACTCCTAAGCAAAACGTTTGCAAAAAGGAGACCCACACTCAAACCCCTGCCCCAATGGTGATGAGGCCCCTCTGTCCCTATACCTACAAAATGGGAAGTTAGGAGGGCTTTCATCCCTGTGGTTACCTAGAGCCCAGTGGGGGCCTTTGCGTTCCACTGGGTTCATCCCCATGTGGCTTTGGAAGGTGCTTTGCCTTTTTGAGTCTGAGGTGCCCACTGTGGTGAAGGGCTACCCATGCTGCCTCCTTGGAAAGGCTTGTGCTCAGACAAAGGAAGTTCAGCTATAGGCATTTCCTGAACCCCCATCCCCTTCCCGCCTGCTCGCCCACTATAGCATGTGGTTCAATGCGTGTTCGTCGCCATCCGGACCATCGGGAACATTGTGATCGTCACCACACTGCTTCAGTTCATGTTCGCCTGCATCGGGGTGCAGCTCTTTAAGGTAAAGTCTTGGCTCCTCCTTCTCTTCCTACCAGGATTCCTGAGAAAGGGACACAGCAGATACAGCAGAAAGAGGGCTGTGCCCTGGTCAGACTTGTGGTGAAAGTCGTCATAGCCCTGCTCTCAGCTTCCCAGACCATAAGAGTGACGGGCTTGGAAGGAGGCATTGCTTCACCTGCCAGAGACCCCTCACCTGCTAGGTGCTGCCTGCCCTTCAGGTCTTGCCCTTCCTTCTAGCAAGGAAGGGAGAGGGACCCCTGTGCTCTGAAACCTCCATGTCAGGCACCTGCGCAAAACCGTCGGTGGTTCCCTTTTATCGACAGCACCAAGTCACCCCCTCCCGCCCCACATTCAGAGCCCCGCCTCTCTCCAGGCTCGCTCTCACTGTCTCCTGACAAGGCTCCTCAGCTCCAGGTTTGCCATCCTTCTTGGCTTCTGCTCTTTTCTGCCTTAATCCTTTTATTTCTGTTACTCTCCCATTGGAAGAATTCTTCCCCCTGCCCTCTCCCATCCACCCAATAAACTTCCACTGATTTCCTCCTACCTGGTTCATCACTCCAAGCCCAGCTCCACTGTTCTTTTCCTCTGGCAGTTCAGTGCTCATGGAGTGGAGGTCCCTTTGTTGAATTCTAGTGGTTCCTGTGGCTCTGACTGCTTTATGTATGTGACTCGGGTCTTCCCCACCTGGATGCTGCTCTCCTTGTGCTTTTTGTCCCCACTTTCTGGCACAAAGGTTCCCAAGCCTAGTACCAGGCCATGGCCTTTTAGGAACCAGGCCTCACAGCAGGAGGTGAGCAGCTGTCAGGTGAGCAAGCAAAGCCTCATCTGTGTTTACAGCTTCTCCCCATCACTCGCATTACCACCTGAGCTCCGCCTCCTGTCAGATCAGCCAGGGCATTAGCTTCTCACAGGAGCACGAACCCTACTGTGAACTGCACATGCGAGGGATCTAGGTTGTGTGCTCCTTATGAGAATCTAATGCCTGGTGAGCTGAGGTAGGGCTGAGGCAGTGATGCCAGCACTGGGGAATGGCTGCAAGTACGGATTATCATGAGCAGAGAAGTGTGATTGCACAGAGACCATAATATATCAGGTGCTTACAGACTCATATCAAAGCCATATCAGTGAGTGGCAAGTGACAATTAAGCTGCATCTGGTGGCAGGCTATAAAGTCATTCCCCCCAGCCCCAGTCCATGGAAAAATTGTCTTCCATGAAATCAGTCCCTGGTGCTAAAAAGGTTAGGGACTGCTGCCCTAGCACATTTTTTATTGATTCATTGATTAATGAACATCTTCAATCCCTTTATTCTTCTGCCTTCCAGGGGAAGCTGTACACCTGTTCAGATAGCTCCAAGCAGACTGAGGCAGAATGCAAGTGAGTGCAGGCTGGTGGGCGGGCAGGGCCAATGGGGTCAACTCAGGGGGTCAGTGACATGAGAGACATCCCGTTCTTTCTCTGATAGCAGTGGCAGCTGGACTTTTACCCAGGGGTAACCTGGTCCCATGGACACAACATGTAACAGGTTCACCCACTGAAGCTCCTCCTAATGGCTAGAACTATAAGGTTTAAGCCTAAGTAGTCCCATCATACCCAGCATGCCAAGAGTCATTGGTGGATCAAGTGTGAAAGGAGATGAGAGACCCCCAGAATTAACTCGTTCTCTTCCTTCCTCAGGGGTAACTACATCACATACAAGGACGGGGAGGTTGACCACCCCATCATCCAGCCCCGCAGCTGGGAGAACAGCAAGTTTGACTTTGACAATGTCCTGGCAGCCATGATGGCTCTTTTCACTGTCTCCACCTTTGAGGGGTGGCCCGAGTGAGTATGCAAATGAAGGCCTATCCACCCTGACATTAGAAGCCACAACATTGTCCTCACACACATTCTTTGAGTTTTGTTCCTGTCCCACACTCCTTCCCAGAGATCCTGCTTACCAGCTTCCTCCCCAGGAGTGTGGGTGTGTAGGCTATCATCACTGATGAAACACAGACTCTTCTTTCTCTAGAAGATGTGAACATTTCAGAAACTCCAACCAAAAATGAGCTTTTTTTAGCACCTCTTCCCAACCTCAGAGTGAGCCCGAATGATAGGGGTCTCTTGTCATCACTCTCATGGCACCCAGGAGTAGGTGTGGAGAGAGCTTCTCCAGTGTGGACCCTTGAATCATCATGGGATTCAAGATTATCACCCCCAGCATGCACTCAATGTGGGTGAAGATGTCTGGTTTACTTGCCTCCTTAGAGAAAGCTGTGCCTATGTTTATGGTGGGAAGTAAGTATGGGATGGAAGCCTAGGTCCAAGTTTCACTGCAAGGTTAGTGTTTTCATGGCTAGACCACCAGCCAGGTGGCCATTACACTGTGTCACTGTACCAGGCAGCCTGTCCATCAGGTGCTCTACATGTCTTTGTACAGACACCTGTTCCCCCCCACTTTTGTATTCCAGTGAAATCATCATCTGAAACTCAGAAAATTGTGCATATTTATAAGTCAACAATAGCACATGGATCTTAGATAAGAGTTGCCAATATTATATGGTAAAATATAGTTGATACCTAGAGAATAACCAAGTACTGTGCCAGGTAAGAACAGAAGGAGTGGAGGCAGTCCCTGTGCATGAGGAGGAACCAGTGTAGTGGGCACAGAGCCAAGGCCCAGATGGGTGCACACACGTACACCATCTAAGTGTAAATCCAAACCATCACAGGTGATCTCAATAAGCCTGGGTCATTGGTTATCTAGTATTTTTATCCAAATGGATATTAGATCTCTGATAGATTTACTCTATGTTCACTGTAACATCCTCTGAGTCTGTCAGTTTGCAAAGCTGTTTCAATATTTACCAATATTTCCAGTGTTTGAAATCAATGTCCATGACTCATGTTACATTAAAATAATTCTTGACAGTTTCAAAACACCTTCATATACATTATGTCAACCACTTTGCCAGGTAGGAAAGTCAGGAGTTACTGTTTCCATTTTACAGATGAAAAATCTGAGACTCAAACAGGTTATGTGATTAGTCCAAGGTCGCAAGGCCATTAAGTGGCACAGCTGGGACTTGAACTCAGACCTTCTGACTCCCAGCCTAGAGCTGTTTCTAGCACCCCTGAGCCCAGGGACCCCTGGGGGCATCAGTGCTGCCTTTCCACAGAGGTGATGCTGCTTCTCCAGTTCCCCTTGTGGGATCTGTCTCCTCTTCCAGGCTGCTGTACCGCTCCATCGACTCCCACACGGAAGACAAGGGCCCCATCTACAACTACCGGGTGGAGATCTCCATCTTCTTCATCATCTACATCATCATCATTGCCTTCTTTATGATGAACATCTTTGTGGGTTTCGTCATCGTCACCTTCCAAGAGCAGGGAGAGCAGGAGTACAAGAACTGTGAGCTGGATAAGAACCAGGTAACCTCCTCAGAAGGAGAGGAACAAGGTGGTGAGAGGGGAGCAGGGCACATGAGGAATGGCAGCAGTTGACAGCCTGAGGCCCGCCCAGAAGAGAGGCTGTAGTCAGGGGACAGATCCACATGCATACTGTGAGCATCTGTCTGCTCAGTGAGAAGAAGGCTCCTAGTCTTCTGGAGGAGCCTGAACAAAAGAAATGCAAGTCCCAGATCTGCCAAGTGCATTCATTCAGCAAACAAATACTTCTTAAATGCCTACTTAAGGAGACTCTATGATAGACTCTGGGGGGCAGGGAAACCTCGTGCTCGATCTAGAAGCTGACGATTAGAAAGTGCCCATATGGGTTGGCCCCATTGGCAAAGAGGAAAGAAACTGGAACAATGAGGGCTTGAGAGTTTTGGAGTGGAGAAGATCACAGCATTAGAAAACCACGATTAAATGGTTTGCCAAGTAAAACCCTGAGGCCTGTGCATGAAGTGGGGGTGGGAAAGAGGCTTAAGTAGGGATGCTTTGGTAATGCCCAGGACCATGGCATAACATGGCATGACATTTTCAAGTGCTCCATGACAGGGGAAGAGCTATTAGCTTGTGAACAAGAGCTGACCGCTTCATTGGTGAGGAATGAATCTGTTAAGAGTGTGCAATAGCATGTAGTCACTGGGGTCAGGTCCCCTGCTATGTTTCTCCGTGAGAAGAGTTTGTGGGGAAGTAAATCCCTGTCTATGAGCAACTTCTGTTCTGCCTATGGGAAGGAGCAGGGCACAGATGCTCAGCTCTACCCTAGTCAGGCCAGCTGGATCCCTCACAGATTCTGATGTCAACATCTTGGATTTAGTTAGACTCATCATTCTGGGTGCTATATGGACTTCGGGTTGGAAGAAAGACAGGAAAGAAGGAAGCCAGTTAGAAAGTATAGATGAGAGATGATAAGATTCTCATCTACTCCCAGGTTAATGATAGTAGAGATGGAAAGGATAGGAGGAAATGGGATGGATCAGGTTTGGAGACTGGACGTGGCAACTAGGGATCAGAGAAGAGGCGGGAGTGACTCCCTGGTTCCTGACTTAGAACTCTGGGCACGGTGCTGAGAAATGAGCTGGTTCTGTGCTGGAATCCCAAGAATCTAGTTAGCCCAAGAACTCATTGCCTATGCATGACCTTTGTCTTCTGATCTGTGGACACTGGTAAATAAGGAAGATTGATTCAGGACAGGAAAGAAAAATTGAGGAGAGAAGTGCCCCAAGGAGAGTCTGTGGCATAGGAAATAAGATGCCAACTTAGTGTTATGAGACATTATGAGTTTAAAAAAAAAAGGAGATCCATACTCCTCAGCTAAGCTTGGTAACAAGATTAACTAGATGAGAGTCTACTTATTAAGGCAGTGAGAGGGGAAAAAAAAGTGCAAATAATACCTGAAGCCTATAAATGAGCTATAGCAGATTATCTCTTTCCCAGAGAACCCTACCCCCAGGTGTATGGTTTCATCAAAATCCCACCCTCTTCTGCCGCCCCGCGCACATCATCCACGTAAATAACCACACTCTCCTATTCCCGCCCCCTTCCTCCCAGCGACAGTGTGTGGAATATGCCCTCAAGGCCCGCCCCCTGCGGAGATACATACCCAAGAACCAGCACCAGTACAAAGTGTGGTACGTGGTCAACTCCACCTACTTTGAGTACCTGATGTTTGTCCTCATCCTGCTCAACACCATCTGCTTGGCCATGCAGGTCAGTCTGGGGCCCTGATGCTGTGATTCCTGCATGGGGAGAGTACCGTGGGAGGAAACGCAGTAGAAAGGGGCTGCACAGACCTCTCTGGTTTGTCGCCTTCCTGGTGGCCAAAGGTTGAAAGACCAGAAGATCTGTCCTCTTATCTCAGGTAGAGAAAGACAGGTGTTCTTTCTCGAGGATGACCTCCTCTCTGGGACCTCAAGACAGAATCTATAGGTCCTTAGGTTAAGAAAATGGAGAGGGTGGAGGAAATGGAGAACAGAGGGTAAGCTCAAAGTGCTCGTTATTGTCAGCAAAGCATGGCGTGTGGAGGTTGATTCAGGGAGGTCAGTCATGCGAGAGCCCCTTTGAGTTCCAGGATTCTCCACAAAGTTGTCATAACCAGGCACAGCCGGGACATAGAATCTGCTGACCTGAGTTTTCAGAGATGGCAGAGAGGGGAAGAACTTTCAAGAGTTCTTGAGTCCACTTGCCTGCCCACAGAGGTGTGGATGGGCTTCCAAGACTTGGAAGATCTTGGAAGTTCAAAGAAGATCTCTGTTGAAATGAAGGGGGTGAGGAGTAGAGATGTCCCTGCCTTGTTTTCACAGTTTTTCCCCTCCTCTCAGCACTATGGTCAGAGCTGCCTGTTTAAAATTGCCATGAACATCCTCAACATGCTCTTCACTGGCCTCTTCACTGTGGAGATGATTCTGAAGCTCATTGCCTTTAAACCCAAGGTAGGCCTCTGAGAAGTGGCATCTGGTATGCAGGTGACAGAGGGATGGAGGGCCAGCATCGAAAGAGGGAGAGTGAGGGGCAGAAATAATCCATAAAGGTCCATATTTTCTCTAATGATAGATAAATGCTCCAACTCCTAAACCTGCCAAGAATGAACCAGGCCAACTTTTTAAAATAGAATCTCAACGCATGGTCTGGACCATGGCTGAGATGTACAGGAAGCTGATTCCTCCCTGAGCTGAGCCTTTCCATCCCAGAGGGAAGCAGATGATGCTCTTTCTTCTCCCATTTCTCATTTTGTCTCTGGCCGCATCACCCAGTACATACTCTAGAAGAAACTGCACCCACAGACTGGCAAACCAAACCTCTCCAGGCCCAGTCCCCCAGATACACTCCAGCCTCTGTTCCCCTCTCTTCCCATTTCATCAGCCACAAAGACCAACCTCATTGTACAAAACTCAGCCGGGGCTGCATTTGCTCAGGGCTCAGTGCCGTAACCCATGTGGGCCTCCTGTTCCCACTCAAAGGCCACATCATTGCTCTCTTGCACCTTCGAGTACAGGCAGGGCAGTTACCTGCAAATATCTGTGCTCTGTTTCTTGTAGGCAGCTCCTCAAAAAAAGTTTGAAAGAGAAGTGTAGAACCCTTGGATGAACAAGGCAGGGTAGGGAAGGCTGGACTTCCTATCACCTTGGATTATCTGTGCCCTCCTCAACCAGCTCCATCGTTATTGTTGTGGATCCTGGAGGAGCAGGCTGGATTGAGCAGCACCTTCCATCTTCCACCCCCGAGAATGGTCAGAATCATTGGCATCTGCTGGCCTGCAATTTACAACAAGGGAAGCTACTTCTAAGGGAGGATGTATAGCAACTCAGCAGCTCCCCTGGCTGCCTCAACACCTATTGGAGAGCGATGAGAAGGGAAGAGTTGGCCATGAGAGAATTGTACCATTACTAACTTGAGAAAATCTCTCTGACTTTCTGGACCCTCTCTTCCTCTCCTTTATTAGTTTCCCCAGATGCAACACAAAGCAAAGAAGGAAAAAAGGAGGAGTCCCTGGCCATAGATTCCATTTTTATTCAAACTTTTACTTATCACAAAACTAAATGGGGTAGGGGGGTGAGTGCACCCTGGCTCTTCGATCCATGTTCATTGACAAGCTATTCATCATCTTCTTTGAATTAATACTCAACTAACATTTCTTGATATCCTACCATGTGCTACACATACCTCATTGCATGTAATTCTCAAAACACCCCTATATACCCCTATAAGATGGGTCTTAGAACCCCCTATTTTATGGAGGAAGGAAGTGAAGTTCAGAGCAATTAAATATAATATTAATTACACCAGTACTAAGTGGCATAACTTGGAACAGAATCTGACATCTCTGCCTTATGTCAATGTACTTCCATACCAACCTGTTAGCATCTTTCTGCTGAGTACTTTTCAGAAAGGGAAATGAGCTTTGAGGTATTTCAAAGATAAGACAGAAAATATTCTTAAAATGCTGATTCTTCCTCTTGCTCAGAGAATGCCTAGGGATTCTGGCTCATGTTCAGAGAATAAGACACTTAAGGAAGGTCATATGGTGGTCAGTGGTGTTTTCCTTCCTCCCCCAGGGCAGCAATGAGAGTCTTTTTTACTACCCTAGTCCCACACCTAGTCTCATTTGGGGGCATAGGTTTTTGTCCTGGCTGATAGAAGACCATGAATGTCCCTGGCCACCTTCTGTGGGGCCCACAGCACCTCTGCTCACCTGCAGCCCAGGACTACCGACAAGTTCACCACCCACAGCAACATGATGAGGTGGGGGCAGGAATGCAGAAACGTTGCCAAGTTGAGCCTCAGTCTCAGATGGCAGCCTCTAGCTAGGGAAACTGGCATCATTTTCATCTAGTTTCATGAGACATATGGTTGAAATGTTTCAAAGCCTTGAGTCATTTCATGGTTGACTCCGGTGTGTTTCTGATGATGCCCAACGCAGTCTGCAGAGCGCTGCAGCGGACCTCCTGAACCATGTCCCATGAGCAGAGCTGCACTCAGCAAACCTTCCCTAGGAAGCAAATGATACTGACCCCTGCCACCTGATAAGGGCCCCCACCTGAAAGCCACTTCACCTAAATAATCCCGCACATCTAGGCACAAGCCATTTTCCCAGTAGCTAACCAATTGCGGTGGTCTAAACCATAAAGTACCTCCTAGTTTCCTCAGTCCCTAGTTATCCATTGTGAAGATATGGGAAAACTAAAAGAGACTTTTCCTAAAGAAGAAAGAGAGCCATCCTGGGGCCATTTGCACTCCACCTGCCAGGGCCAGGGTAAGTTTATGATGTAAAAAGAAAGGAAAGTGGGCCTTTTCTGTGGATACCTTTATAATGAGTTCTGGCAATAGAGGGGGATGGGTCACTGAACTGGCTCACGAGAGAAGGCTGCCCAGTGCTGGGGGAGCAGGGCTCCCTGAAAGCTTATTAAGCAATATTCTTTTTTTTTTTTTAAGATTTTATTTATTTATTTTTAGAGAGGGAGGGGAGGGGGGGAGAGAGAGAGAGAGAGAGAGAGAGAGAGAGAGAGAGAGAGAGAGAGAGAGAAACATCAATGTGTGGTTGCTGGGGGTTATGGCCTGCAACCCAGGAATGTACCCTGGCTGGGAATTGAACCTGGGACACTTTGGTTCCCAGCTCACGCTCAATCCACTGAGCTACGCCAGCCAGGGCAGCAATATTCTTTATTAAGGATTAGACTCCAAGAAAAGCATCCCCAAAAATGTCAGGCAAAAAAACATACCAGAAACTCCTTGTAGCTCTTGTAGAAATGTCTAGCTGGATTTGGTCCAAGAACCAGGGCTTCTGGCAGGGACCTGAAGTACAGAACAGCTTTCCTGTCTCCCCATTGATTGGAATTCCATCTGCACCTTTTAGCACACTGGCATGGTGGTTTCTGTATGATATGGATGGGTAATGGGTTTGCACTTGTAAGCATTAACTGTAAAAGGACAGTTAGGCAGCGAGGGTGTCAAAGAGTGACCTCAGTCACAGCCAGGGAGAAGTTGTTTAAAGTTGCCACTACTTGACTTTTCTTCTCTGTCTTTTTTGTCTGTGTGATTGGTTGGTAAGTCAGTCCATCAGTGGGTCAGTTTGTACTCTTGCTTTCATTCTTTCATTGTCTTCATGGGGCTTAATGTTCCCTAGTTCTTCATTTCTGTCTGTTCTCACCATTCTGTGGAGAATGAATTTACTCAAGTAAACCCCTGCCCCAGATTCAACTGCCCCACTCCTTACAATCACACTGTGTTCCAAACACACAGGAAACTATGGGTTATTACCCAGTTTAGAGCAATTCAGTCCCCCACGGGAACCCCAGGGATCTGAATCTGGTCAAGTCTGGAAAGTGGGAAAGAAGATGTAGTAGGACTGATCTGAATACCTGACAGCAAACCGGAGAAAATCTCTTTCTGGGAGTAGAAGGAGCACCTGGGAGATAAGCAGGTAGCACCCACAGCCTACCTGATTGTGCAAGACTAAGTCAGTGTGAAAAACTTCTGGTTAGAATGGTTTGAAAATAACTAAATAGCTGGACTGTCTTCCTGTTATGAACTGAATTTTATCATAAAAAAAATGGGGAAATATTCTTAAGATGCACTTTACAATAGGCGCTGAAAAATATCCAATCCTAAGAGTAAATCTAACAAAAAAAGCCTCAAATCTCTGCAGAAAATCTATAAAATTTCAGAAAGAGGAATTAAAGAAAACTAACAAATTAAAGAAAACAAACAAACTAACAAATATGTCATGTTCATGAATTGGAAAACTTGGTGTTATAAAGATGGTGTTTATTTTCAAACTGATCCATAGACAATACAGTCCCAATTAAAACTCTAAGTTAAGCCTTACCCAAGGTGAGGATGGCAGGAGAAAAGGGGGCCACCCAACAAGAACTGAATGGCCAGTAGGATGACCCTGGGTGGGTGGTCCCAAAGCTTCAATCCAGCTGGGCAGCTCTGATATCAGGAGAGGCAGGAACCTAGGCCCAGACCAGTGCCGGTCACAGACACTGCTCTCAGCACAAGTGTCAGCACCGGGGTTGTGGTGATGTGACTTCATTGCCTGTGATTTACTATTGATGCAAGGGCAGGGTGGAGGGAGGTGCAGAGGATGGGGCTCTGCCTTCTTTTCTCAATAGAAATCCATCTGCCCAGGGAAGGAGGCACTCACCCAAATAGAAGGTGCCGTGTCCGTGGGTTGTGCAGGGGTGAAGAAGCAGGGACTGCTATTCTCATTCCCCTTGGCTGCTGCTTGCTCACAGGGAATGCGGTTCTCACAGCCTCTCAGTACCTCCCCAAGGGGAAGACCTGGGCAGGGTGGGGGATGGGAGATTTGACCCTGGAAGCTGTCTTCAAGGCCTCAGTCTATCTTTTCGGCTTTCTCCAAGCCTGGCAATAGTCCAGAGATGTGAATGGAACCAAAGTGAAAACCCTCTCTGACTTTCCTGGCCCCCAGCTTTCTTGAGCAAGAGCAACTGACATCTTGGGGCTAACTTTCATGGTGTAGGACAAATTAGGGCCCAAAGGCATTTCAGACCTAAGGGACAAAGTGAGGCTTCTAGACCTGCACTATCTAATGGAACTTTCTGCTGTAATTAAAATGTCCCATATGCACTGTCTATGAAACAGCTACTAGCCTCCTGTGCCTATTAGGCGCTTGAAATATGGCTAGTACAGCTGAGGAATTGATCTTTAAATTTTACTTACTTTAATTAACTCATATTTCTCTAGCTGCATGTGGCCAGCATCTGCTACACAGGGCAGCGCGGGTCTGGACACTGCTTCCTCCCGTGGCATCCCAGTGTCTGCTGCCCCTCTGTCTGTCCTGGCTGCTCCTGCCCGACTGCTGCTGCTTCGTGAAGCTGAAGGGTTTATTTCACCCTCCCTGCTCTCTCCAGCTGGTAATTTTCTACCAGTGATCAACTGCTAGTAATGGAAGCCCTCTTGACAGGGTGAG